CGTGATGATGCGAAAGACGGAAACCTTTGCTCTCCAATGAAAAAACAATGAATGCTCTAGCTATTATGGTTTTTGTTTCAGATTGATTTAAACAGGATCATGCAAACAACGATCTCCAGTGGCCAGTTAGGGGCTGCCCGCGGGACGTCCGTTTCAGTAAATCGCAGCTCATCCAGGTTTTTATGTCCTTAAGACATGTTTGTAACTTAGATAATTGATTAATTTCATTGGGCTCGATTGATAGATTAATAGCTGGGTATCATCTGCATAACAGTGAAATGTAATGGAGTGATTCCTAATAATGTTGCCTAAAGGGAGCATATATAAAGTAAATAGTATTGGTCCAAGCACAGAACCTTGTGGAACTCCATGACTAACTGTAGTATTTATTGAAGATTCATCGTTAACATGTACAAACTGAGAACAATCTGATAAACATGACCTAAACCAGCTTAGTGTGGTTCCTTTAAAGCCAATTTGATGCTCGAGTCTCTGTAAAAGAATATCATGGTCAATGGTGTCAAATGCAGCACTAAGATCTAATAATACAAGTACAGAGACAAGTCCATTGTCTGAAGCAATCAAAAGGTCATTATTAACTTTCACCAGTGCTGTCTCTGTGCTGTGATGTACTGAAATAAAATGTTGTTATGAAGAAAGTCACTGTGTCCTGGACAATGAGTGTTCAACAACAGAAGCATTTTTAGGACCTTTAAGGGGATGTGTAGTTTGATTGAAAATGTAATGGATCATCAGTATATTTCTTAACCACAACATCCTCTTCCTCCAGCCTCTCTGACTGTGAGTCCCAGCAGCTCTCAGATGTTTAAAGGACAGTCTGTCTCTCTGAGCTGTGAGGAGGACAACAGCTCTGCTGGATGGACACTGAGGAGGAACACAACCAGAGACACCAGGACGCAGTGTGACGACTGGGGAGAACCAGCTGGTTCTTCTTGTACCATCAGCCCCATTGCCACATGGGACAGTGGAGTTTACTGGTGTGAGTCCAGAGAGGGAGCAACCAGTAACACCATCAACATCAGTGTCACTGGTAAGATCAGACTGTGGAGTTAGTGTTGATGAAGCTGTGTGTAAATGGATGAAATGCTGTAGTCTGTCTCTGTGTTGAGGTGGACCAGTGATCCTGCAGAGTCCTGTCCTCCCTGTGATGGAGGGAGATGATGTCTCTCTGCACTGTAAAACAAAGACCCCTCCCTCCAACCTCACAGCTGCTTTCTATAAAGATGGCTCCCTCATCAGGACTGAGCCTACAGGTCACATGACCATCCACCATGTTTCCAGGTCTGATGAAGGCCTCTACAAGTGTCACATTGGCAGTCATGGAGAGTCTCCACCCAGCTGGATCACTGTCACAGGTGAGGAGGTCACCTTTGATTTCAGGACTTATTTCATCCAGATATTCACCTGACCAGGTGGGATTCTCTCTGCAGGTAAACCTACAACCACAGCCCCGCCCACCTCTGCAGCCCCATCCACTGTCTCCACCCCCCTCCAGTTTGTGTTCAGATTGCTCTGCCACCTTGTGGTGTTCTGTCCGTACTGCATCTCCACTGTCCTCATGGTGTCTTTATATCGACAGAGGGCCACAGGTAACACTCATCAATCAATCAATCAATCAATCAATCAATCAGTCAATCAGTCTGGTGTTGATGATTGACAGCTGTCTCTAACAGAAGTTGATAAATGATCTATATTTTATTTCTAACCTACACTGACTGTAGGAAATAATCTGCCTGTCTCCATGGTGATGATCCCGCCCACCCAGGCTGAGGAGGGATTGGATGGTGACTATGATGATGTCATCGGTGATGTCACCACAGAGCATCACTTCTGAACTGATCCGATGAGTTCAATGTGTTCTTAAATGAAGCTAAAATGTTCAAATAAGAAATGAGCTTTTTTATTAATCAGAATCAGAAATACTTTATTGATCCCCGGGAGAAATAAGTTGACAACAGTGATGTATTGCAGGGCTTTTATTAATTTGTGACACATTAAATCTCGTCTCTCTGTCCACCAGATGATGACTATCACTCTGCAGTCTAAAGGAGAATGATGAAGTTTGCAGGAGAATCAGCAGCTGGACGACAGAAGAGCTCCATCCTCACTGCTGAGCTCCAGTAAACCTCAGAACTGCATGCAGCAATATTCACATGGGACAGTTTCAGTGCTGTTTCCAGGTTCATGTATCATCCTACAGCACAGGGTAGTACAAGGAAATACCAGCTGTAGTCCCTTAAATAAAAGTATTTTACATAATGACTCACTGCCTGAGGGAAGAAGTCTGGAGGTACGGCAGCAAGAGCTTCTGTACCTCTTCCCAGAATGCAGCAGGGTGAACAGGCTGTGGCTGTTAAACATTTTTAATCTGATTACATTAAGTTAATAAAAGACATTCACTCAGTGTAATCAGATTAAAAATGTTTATCACTTTCAGAACTTAAGATGAACTGCTGGTTCACTTTAACCATGAGATGCTATCGCAGTGTACAAGCTAACAGCCACCAGAGGGAGATGATTCTAAAGGGAGGTTCAGGTTATTTCCCCTCATCATGAATAAAGAGTATGAACAGAAACAGGGAATGAAAGCTGCATGGTCCCAATGGATAGAAACAACAAATAAAGATAACACAACCTGAGGATCCAAATGTAACAATAAGTGTTTATTTTTCTATGAAAATACACTTTATACAAAAGTTTCAAAGGATCACAAACATACTGTTGTTGGTAACACTTTATCAAGGTATTGGATTGGTAACAGCTCACAATGGGGAGAAAGGTGGAAGAGCTGTGTAAAACAACTTTAGTAGTAATTTTTCTGGGGAGACACTTTTTTAAATAATAAACATTAAGACCCAGTTCACAGTGAAAACAGAAAATTGGGCATATATGAATGAACCTGTTTCTGCATCACGTCACATTGTCTTGAACAGGTAAAGCGACCATTTTGAAGAGATAAACATGTTTTAAATCACAATGTGATTCGTTAAATACTTTACAAATGAGAGTTGATGAATGCATTTAACAGTAATACAATATAAATACTTTATAAATGAAATGAAATAAAGGCACTGATGTTAACAGCTTCTTGTTTTTCTCTTGGTAAACACAATGTGCACTCTCTTTATGGGACAGAATATGTGCATTCAGGAAAGTTGAGGCTCCTGTTTTTACATCACTGGCAAAACAGTGTACATATTGAAATATTTTGAAAATGAGAAGTGCAATTAGCAGGAGGAAGGAGTTCCAACTGCTAACTGAGATCAAATCTGCTGCGACACTGCGTAGTGTGCTGGACCAGAGGACTTCTGGAGTTGATCATTGTGGACTTTGGAAAAGGGCTAAAGAAGCTCTGGAAACAGCAAGGAAACTAAGTATATGTGTTGATGGTGTGTGCGGCTTAGAAAATAATACATTTTTGTTCATTAATCAACCTGTTGTGCTTGATTGTGTGCTGGGGGACCCACGGTTGCAGAGAGGAAAAGCCACTGTAACACTTACAGTACACTGCAATAACAGAAGTACAGTACCACCTTCCACCAAATCAGTTAGACACTGAACTGCTAACATCACCACGCATTAAGGGTGCCTAATCGCTGATATTCACTCTAATTAGTTCTAATCAGGCAGAATTTTAGATTTAGATTTCAGTCCAGAGGAAGGTTTGTTCTTTCAGCATTTTGCAGAGCAACAGAGAGAGAGATGTTATCTGGTGGATGTTTAACAGACAGACACACAGTCTGTACATGGAGAGAGAGACAGGGCAGCCGGTGTGTGAGACAGGTACTTGTCTTCACAGCGTTGATCATGAATAATGGATATTAAACAGCTGACCAGGAAGTTTTCATCCAGCAGCAGTCAGTTTGAATGTAATCGAGTCAAAATGATGTGAATCCACTGCAGCCTGTATGAAATTTGTGGTTCGGGAGGCAGACACCATCACCACATTCAAGAGTAGGCTTAAGACATTCCTCTTCGATAAAGCTTATAGTTAGGGCTGGATCAGGTGAGTCCTGAACCATCCCTTAGTTATGCTGCTATAGGCCTAGACTATCGGGGGATTTCCCATGGTGCACTGAGCTCCTCTCTTCCTCTCTCTTTCTGCACTCATTCATGTCCCATTAATGCATGTTACTAACTTCACTTCTTCCCCGGAGTTCTTGTGCTTTCTCGTCTTGCAGGTTCTCGTGGATCCTGGTGGAGCCTCCTGCCATGGTCCTGCTAGATTGCCATTGCCAATACTGTTGTTGCTGTGCACCTGTCAGTCTATCTGTCTGTCTCTCTCTCTCTCTCTCCCACCCACCTAGAGCCGGAGGATCTGTCCTAGGTTTCTGCCTTTTAACAGGCAGTTTTTCCTTGCCCTTGTCTCCAAGGTCTTGCTCATGGTGGTACTGTTGGGTCTCTGTAATTAATGTTTTAAAGAGTTCGGTCTAGACCTGCTCTATTTGAAAAGTGTCCTGAGATAACTTCTGTTATGAATTGGCGCTATACAAATAAAATTGAATTGAATTTAATTTAATTGAAATGTGCAAACAGTCGAACACGGTTGGACACAATAAACTATCATCATCATCATCATCATCATCATCATCATCACGGTTGCTTTCAGCTACCTGCACAGAGCTAGCTCCCAGCTAACATCTTCACCTGTTTGTCTGCAGAGCTAACAGCAGCACTCTGTCAGATACAGGGGTTGATGTTCTCACTCAACATTAGATCAGAGTTAGGAGCCCTGGCTGACGACAATACAGCGACAATACAAACGGGCCACAGTGCCCCACTGGAGCTGATATGCATCTTCAGTCAGATGGACTGGGCCAATGGTGGGTCTCTGGAGAACCGTGGGTGTGGCTCTGCCCCCCTACTCACTCTGCTACAGGTAACCACTGAACCATGCAGTCCATGATGATGGAGAGCCTCAAACAGCAGATTTACAAATGGCCCACAGAAAGTGTTCAACATGACTTTGGTATAAAGAGGTCTGTAGAGGTTCAGAGGAGCTGATCACCCACTGCTTCATCAGCAGCTGGTTCTGAGTTACTGTCTGTGTGTCTCTTTTTCTTCCAGAGAACCATTCCAACAACAGCTGAACTAATCAGAACGAAAACTGTCAGTCCAATGTGTTTGTTTCCATCCCTCTTGGTTGTGTCTTTGTAGTCTCCATCCATGGTGTTTTTGCTGTTGGAACCTGAAGATGAAAATGTACATTAGTCAGGAAATGACTGAACAGAATCCATTTCTTCTTCTATATCCCTCATGTTTGACTCTGAGAATCACCCTGAACTCCACTAACTCACCTGAGGCTGTGACCTCCAGTTGGATGGTTCTGATTGGGTCAGTCTCAATGATGGCTCTCTTATGACGGCTTGAACCACCTGTAACAACTCGACACTCGTATGTTCCGTTGTCACTGATGCTCACGTTGTTTATAACTAAAGACACGTTTCCATCCTTCATCTCTCCGTCTGCCAGATTCACCCGACCCTTAAAGGATGGATGTTGGTTGGTTGTAACTGAGCGTTTGTTTCTGTAAAAGAGGACGTACTCTGGCTCCAGGTCAGGTCTGGTCCACTCTACAGCTCTGATGGAGCCATCACCAGCTGAACATGACAGAGTGACATCATCTCCAGGTTTCACTGATATCACATGTTGTTCTAAAAACCAACAATAAACATCCAGAGAGAAAAAGTTGTTCAGGGAAATCACTTTTAACATTGAGTTGTAATTAATGAATGAGAGCAAAGGTCACTCCCACTCTGCCCCTGTATGCAATAGTAATCAGATTAGAATCCATACAACTATATACAGTGTGCTTGTGGACGTACCAACAGGTGAAGAGAACAGACACAAAAACTCTGCACACTGTGTTTATTCTACAACCAAACTATATACTATAGATTATTTTACACATATTAACTAATAAACTATACATAAATTAAACTAGGCTTTATATATATATATATAAACATGTCTCTGTTGAGTTTTGTGATGGCTGTCTGGAGGAGTCTCTCTCTCTTTAACAGTAGCTTCAGAGTGTTTACCTGAGTTACCTGTATAAAGTGGATTGTGCTCACTGTTTGTGATTTCATTAACTAATAACTCTTTTAGTTCTTGCAGTAGTGTGGTTGTGTCTCTGTCGCTCTCTGTCTCTGAGCAGGAGCCCCGCCCGCAGTGGAGTTGATATTCTCTCAGTCGTTAGCCCTGATAGGCTAACGGGCTGACCAATCAGGAGGGGAGCCTCTCTACAACGCTCAACAGCGGAACTACCAACGAGGCTAACAGTGCTAACAGTGCTAGCAGGCCTCAAACCTGTGGCTGTCACTGTACGCTGTCTGACATCTGAAGTAACGTTAGCAAACATCAGCTGCTCTAACTATCACACATGTACCTCAGACTGAAACATCACAAACCATCATCATCATCTTCATCATCATCTTCATCACAAATCTAGTTTCGGTTTGGCTGTGAGAGCTTGTAGTTTAGGCATTCAAGTTTTACGAGTAAAAGGTCGTCAGACCGAGACACACACACACTCTACTCACCTTGTGCAGCCAGGAAACAAAAGAAATACAGAAGGATGTAAACGCTGTACGATCGGACTGCCGCCATGATGACTACTGAACTACTCTAGTGAACCCATGATGCACCGCGCATACAGAAACGAACAAACCACGCCCCAACGCTCCAGTGACGTTACTGTCCATTATGTCTGTGGATTACATGATCTTTCAGACGATGAACCTGGGAAATAGTTTTTATCTGAATTCTCAGCTTTTTCATCAATTTTACAGCTTTCAGATAAAACAGTGATTATTGGAGGTGACTTTAATATTAATGTGGACATCAATAATGACCTTAGTACTGTATTTATCTCATTATTACCCTTAATCTGTCATATGGCACTGAAACTGAACATTTAATGACCTGACCATTATTTAACAAACACCAACAATTGCATTCATTACTACAGAGAAATAAAAACACCATTATATGTAATAAATGTAGATACCTGCTGAATCAGTTTCTTCTCAGAATCCTCAAATAATCCTTTAATTGTCAGGATGAAAAAAACATGTCCACTGTAAAAATCCAGGAAGTCCAGTAGTTTGAAGATTCATCAGATGATAAAACTCTGCACACTATAACACAGACTTTACAGACTTTACCACTGATTGATCTTCTGTTGCTGTGTACAGGTGGATGCTTCCTATTACCTGAGCACTGGGGGAGGGGAGGGAGGGTGTGGTTACATTCAGCTGAGCAGGTATTTTCCAGGAAACAATCTGTATGAAAAGATACAGCAGATGGTTTCTGATAAACAACTGGTGTCCTGTCCTCCTACAGGTGTAGTTACAGGTTACTCTGTGGATTCAACTTTTACAATAAATGATGCACTAATAGATTAAATGAGCCAACAGTCTGAATGAGGACTTTTATTCTGATATTAGAGTAGATTTATAATTTTTACTGAAGTAACGTGGTGAAAGCAGAACTATATGTTGGTGCTATTGTTATTTTAAAGGTCCAGTGTGAAACATTTAGGAAGATCTTCACATGTACTTTAATGTGTCACATCATTAATTTGTTAAACTTTCTTTCATTGTATTCATCGTTCTTTTTTGTTCCTCCAGCACAGTGCTGGTGAGGACGTGATCAGACTGCCAACCCCCTGCAGGGGGAGGCACAGGGCGCAGCGGATCCTGAAATATGAACAGCCGTGGAGACAGTGGTCTCACATGTGTCCCCCCTCTCCTCCTCCTGTGGCAGGTTGGCGTGTGCTGATGTGTCCTGACCACTGGAGTCAGTGGCTCGTTCACATTGTCAGTTTCATGTTGATTGGGATGTATGAAGGAACGGTGCACAGGACCCGGCATACACCTGGTTTTATACATTTGGATTATTCTTTGCATATGTACTTTTCAAGTTTTGTGAGTACGCCTTCTGTCAGTGTGAAAGCTGCACAGTCTTTCATACATGAGGCCCCTGGACTTTATGTCCTTTACATTTTCTAAAAATGTGAAAACAAAAACAAGAAGCACGCCATGAACTGATCGGCAACTATGGCTTTACTATCTTTATCCTTGTTTCCTCCATCCTTGGTTCCCACTGTGACCTTTAGAGCAGTAAACAGGTGTAAGTTATCAGGTCTCTACACACTCAGCTAACCCTTACATTACTAACAGTAATCTAACAATGTTCAAACTGAAAAACCTTGAAATATACAGTCATTCTGAAGTCCTGTGACCCCCAAACAAATGAGCCATCCATCCATGTGAAGTGAAAGTGAAAGTGAAGTGATCACACTGCATCTGGAGCCTGCCTGGACACTAGTGACATCATACGATCTCTGCACTCTGATTGGCTGCTCTGTGTGAAAGAGGTCAGTCCTCCTCAGACTGTTCAGCTTTAATTAAAGTCAGTTTGGGGTTTCCAATCGAAATAATTAGAGATAGGATTTATGGCTCTTTGAAGGGAGCCAGATCTTGAGGAGCCCTTCCTTTCAAAGAGCCGTTCAAAAGACTGGCTCATTTTTACATTTATTTATTTATAAAATGGGTTAGCCTGGGGGTAACCCATTTTATCTGGGAAAGGATCACTGGGAAGAACGAGAGAGTCGGATCTGGATCAGAATCATTAAAACTTATATATTATATTGGTGGGATGTCTAAGTTTGAATTATTTTGAAATATTGATGTGCCACTGTGTCGGACAACTCAGATGACGTCAATCTAAATTTGCATATCAAATTATCACCTGTGTACTCTGCTGCTCCTCCCCTTGTTGTGCATGCTCTCAGTCTCAGTGGAGTAGCAAAGGAGGAGCTTGTGTGCACATGCTGTGTGCGTGACAGCGTTTAAAAAAACGTGATATGCAAATTTCACCTGACTTCATCTGAGTTGTCAGTACAGCAGCTACAATGAGCCAAAGAAAGCGCAGCAGCACTTGGATGCACTTTTTGGAGGAAAAAAACGACAAAGCAAAGCAAACATCTGTCAAAATAATATTTCTGGGTCAACAGACAACTTGCATCGCCATTCAAAAACTCAACACCCGACAGTCAAAGTGATGGAGGGAAGAAGAGGACCAACTAAGATAACATGGGTTACCCCCAGGCTAGCTTCTTAAAAATAAATAAATGTAAAAATGAGCCAGTCTTTTGAACGGCTCTTTGAAAGGAAGGGCTCCTCAAGATCTGGCTCCCTTCAAAGAGCCATAAATCCCATCTCTAATTCAGACTCTACAAAACAACCCTCCTCCTCCCTCATGGTACACACACTGCATTAGATTAGATTAGACTGTTCAATTCAATTCAATTCAATTCAATTTTATTTGTATAGCGCCAATTCATAACAGAAGTTATCTCAGGACACTTTTCAAATAGAGCAGGTCTAGACCGAACTCTTTAACATTAATTACAGAGACCCAACAGTACCACCATGAGCAAGACCTTGGAGACAAGGGCAAGGAAACACTGCCTGTTAAAGGCAGAAACCTAGGACAGATCCTTCAGCTCTAGGTGGGTGGTCGTCTGTCTCGACCAGTTGGGGGAGTGAGAGAGAGAGAGAGAGAGAGAGAGAGAGAGAGAGAGAGAGAGAGAGAGAGAGAGAGAGAGAGAGAGAGGCAGAGAGAGAGAGAGAGCGAGAGACAGACAGACATACAGGTGCACAGCAACAACACTATTGGCAATGGCCGTCAAGCAGGACCATGGCAGGAGGCTCCACCAGGATCCATGAGAACCTGCGAGACGAGAAAGCACAAGAACTCCCGGGGAAGAAGTGAAGTTAGTAACATGCAGTAATGGGACATGAATGAGTGCAGAAAGAGAGAGGAAGAGAGTAGCTCAGTGCACCATGGGAAATCCCCCGATAGTCTAGGCCTATAGCAGCATAACTAAGGGATGGTTCAGGACTCACCTGATCCAGCCCTAACTATAAGCTTTATCAAAGAGGAATGTCTTAAGCCTACTCTTGAATGTGGTGAGGGTGTCTGCGTCCCGAACCACAACTGGAAGCTGGTTCCACAGGAGAGGAGCTTGGTAACTGAAGGCTCTGGCTCCTGTTCTACTTTTTAGAGACTATAGGAACCACAAGTAGCCCAGCATTCAGAGAACGTAATGTTCTAGTGGGGTAATAAGGTACTATGAGCTCTTTAAGATATGAAGGGGCCTGACCATGAAGAGCTTTATAGGTGAGGAGGAGGATTTTAAATTCTATTCTACATTTTACAGGGAGCCAATGCAGAGTAGCTAGTACAGGAGAGATGTGATCTCTTTTTCTAGTTCCTGTCAGTACTCGTGCTGCAGCGTTCTGAATTAATTGGAGCGTTTTAATGGACTTATTGGGGCAACCTGATAATAAAGAGTTGCAGTAATCCAGCCTTGAAGTAACAAATGCTTGGATTAGTTTTTCTGCATCTGTCTGTTATAGTATGTGTCTAATTTTTTCTAATATTACGTAAATGAAAGAAGGCGGTCCTAGAGGTCTGCTTTATGTGGGAGTTAAATGACAAATCCTGATCAAAGATAACTCCAAGATTCCTGACAGTGGTGCTAGAGGCCAAGTTTTAGACAATGAGTCTCTAAGGTTTTTGGGGCCAAGAACAAGAATTTCGGTTTTTTCTGAGTTTAACATCAGAAAATTGCAGGTCATCCAGGATTTTATGTCCGTAAGACATGTTTGTAATTTAGATAATTGATTTATTTCATTGGGTTTGATTGATAGATATAACTGCGTATCATCTGCATAACAGTGAAAGTTAATGGAGTGATTCCTAATAATGTTGCCTAAAGGGAGCATATATAAAGTAAATAGTATTGGTCCAAGTACAGAACCTTGTGGAACTCCATGACTAACTGTAGTATTTATGGAGGATTCATCGTTAACATGTACAAACTGAGAACGATCTGATAAGTATGACTTAAACCAGCTTAGGGCAGTTCCTTTAATGCCAATTTGATGCTCGAGTCTCTGTAAAAGAATATCATGGTCAATGGTGTCAAATGCAGCACTAAGATCTAATAATACAAGTACAGAGACAAGTCCATTGTCAGAAGCAGTCAGAAGGTCATTATTAACTTTAACCAGAGCTGTCTCTGTGCTATGATGAACTCTAAATCCTGACTGAAAATCCTCAAATAAACTATTGTTATGTAGAAAGTCACACACTCTTTGGCGACTACTTTCTCCAGAATCTTAGAGAGGAAGGGGAGGTTAGAAATCGGTCTATAGTTGGCTAAAACCCCTGGGTCAAGAGTGGACTTTTTAAGAAGGGGTTTAATTACAGCTACTTTAAAGGACTGTGGTACATATCCTGATAATAAAGAAAGATTAATCATATCCAGTAAAGAAGTGCCAATTAAGGGAACAACTTCTTTAAGCAGCCTAGTTGGGATCGGGTCTAATAGACAGGTTGATGGCTTCGATGAAGAAATGATCGAAGTTAACTGATGAAGATCGATAGTAGAAAAACAGTCTAAATATATATCTGAGTTTACATTGGCAGAAGTCCCTGAACTTGGAGAGCCAATGATAACTGTTGATGGCAGTTGGTGATTAATTTTTTCTCTAATAGTAATAATTTTATTATAGAAGAAGCTCATGAAGTCATTGCTACTTAAGTTTATGGGGATATGTGGCTCGATAGAGCTGTGACTCTCTGTCAGCCTGGCTACAGTGCTGAAGAGGAACCTAGGGGTTGTTCTTATTTTCTTCTATTAGTGCTGAGTAATAGGCTCCTCTGGCATTACGGAGGGCCTTTCTATAGGTTTTAAGATTATCTTGCCAATTTGAGCGATATTCTGATAATTTGGAAGAGCGCCATTTCCTTTCAGATTTCCTAGCTATTTGTTTTAACTGGCGGGTTTGGTGGTTATACCAAGGTGCTAGTCTCCTATGTTTTAATAATTTCCTTTTTATAGGAGCGATAGAGTCTAGTGTTGATCGTAGTGAGCCTGCAGCACTATCAACAAGATTATCAATTTGGGAGGGACTAAAGTTGTTATAGGACTCTGTTAAATTCAGACATGGCATTGAATTAAACACTGAAGGAATCTCCTCCTTAAATTTAGCTACAGCACTGTCAGATAGACATCTGCTGTAGGAAGTTTTGCCTAATGGCTTATAATCTAATAATATGAATTCAAAAGTTATTAAATAATGGTCAGATAGGAAAGGATTATGTGGGAAGACTATTAAATGTTCAATCTCAATGCCATATGATAGAACAAGGTCAAGAGTGTGATTAAAACAATGAGTTGGTTTATTTACACTCTGACAGAAGCCAATTGAGTCTATTAATGATATAAATGCATTACTAAGGCTGTCATTGTCAACATCCACATGAATATTAAAATCACCTACAATAATTACTTTATCTGATTTAAGGACTAAACTTGATAGAAACTCTGAGAATTCAGATATAAAATCAGAGTACGGTCCAGGAGCGCGGTACACTATAACAAATAGAACTGGCTGCAGTGTTTTCCAGTTTGGGTGAGAAAGACTAAGAACAAGGCTTTCAAATGAATTATAATTTAGTTTAGGTTTAGGGTCCATTAAAACGCTCGAATCATATATGGCTGCTCCACCTCCTCGGCCTGTGCCTCGAGGAATGTGAGTGTTAATATGACTGGGGGGGTGGATTCATTTAGGCTAACATACTCCTCGTGGGACAACCAGGTCTCAGTAGGACAAAGTAAATCAATATCATAGTCTGATATTAATTCATTCACTAAAACAGCTTTAGAGGACAGAGACCTGATATTTAACAGCCCACATTTCATTCTCTTATTTTGTGCTACTGAGGAGTTGGTTTTAATTTTTATTAGATTTTTATGTTTTACTCCTCTTGTTTTTATTTCTTTAAATAATCTAGGTGGTCGGGGGACAGACACAGTCTCTATGGGGTTTTCGGTGGGTGACTGTTCTAAAGAAAGCGCAGAGAAGTGTGTAAGACAGCAGCTCTGCTTCCTGGTCCTAACTCTGGACTGTCAGGTTTTAGAAATAAACTGCCATATTTCTAGATAAGAGAGTCGCTCCATCCAAAGTGGGATGGATGCCGTCTCTCCTAATCAGACCAGGTTTTCCCAAAAAGGCTTCCAGTTATCAATGAAGCCCACATCGTTTTCTGGACACCACCTCGACAGCCAGCGGTGGAATGATGACATGCGGCTATACACGTCATCACTGGTCACATTGGGCAGGGGTCCAGAGAAAACTACGGAGTCCGACATTGTCTTAGCATAATTACACACCGACTCCACATTAATCTTAGTCACCTCCGATTGGCGTAACGGGTGTCGTTGCACCGCCGACGTGGATAACAATCTTACTGTATTTACGTTTATCTTTAGCCAGCAGTTTTAAATTTGATTCAATGTCACCCGCTCTGGCCCCAGGGATACATTTAACTATGGCCGCTGGCTTCACTAACTTCACGTTTCTGACTATGGAGCTGCCAATAACCAGAGTTGGTTCCTCAGCGGGTGTATCGCTGAGTGGGGACAATGTGTTAGAAACATGAATGGGTTGGTGGTGACCTGTGGGCTTCGCCGTTCGAGTCTTCCTTCGCTCAGTCACCCAGCCTCCCTGTCTTCCCGGCTGCTCGGGAACTACCGGAGGATCTACCGGAGGAACTACCTGGGGGATCTACAGAGCTAACAGAAGCTACCTTCGGTCGGACCGCACCGGCTACCGGGGGGCTGGCTAACTATAGCGGCTAAAGATATCTCTGTGGTGCGGTGCCGTTCCTCCTAACTCACTAAGCCTCGCCTCCAGCGCAGTAAATAGACTACATTTAATACAGGTACCATTATCATTAAAGGAGGCAGAGGAATAACTGAACATCTGACACACTGAGCAGGACAGAGGAAGAGGGAGAGGGAGAAGCCATAGCTAACTGCTAATGCTAATGAAACTAGAGTGTATGAAAAACTTTGAAAGTAGTGAAAAGTCACTAAAAAGAGGGAGAAACTCCGAGTGTTTAAGTAGAACTAGTCTACGTTTAAATGTTAAGCGGGTAAATAACCGCTGTAACGAGTATATCAAATTTAGATTTAGCGTTCACTGACAGAGCTACAGCACCAAACAGTGTACACAGAGCAGGAAGTAAACCGGAAATGAGTCAGTACGCTTACCGTAGCACGTCATCCGTCACAAGAACCAGTCTGCAAGGCTACCTGTTGAATCTCTAATGTGGAGGTCAATGGTTTCAGCCTCTGTTGAACTCAGAGCTGATCAGGAGTTTCAGACACAGACAGTTGGATTTGTTCTCTTTAAGAACACTCAGGGTTAGTTCTCTCTTGGATGGCTGCAGTGCGGGATCAGGATCACAACAGACCCGGGTTAGGAAACAGTCCTCGTAAGTGTTGAGCCAACAGTCTTGGTGCTCTTCTGTTCTGTGTTTTTAATGTAACAACATTTTACTCCTGATCTCCTGAATATCACACAGGAACCTGTTCTGGAAGATAAATGAGAAACTGCTCATTAGTGACGACGATGTGAAATGTCCTCATCCTCACAGGTCGTTCCAAAACCCAAAGAGGTTCCCATCCCATATCTCCACTAGAGGCCTGAACTGGCTCAACACCAAGCCCAGATATGGATCCTGATCAGTCTATGACAGCACTGAACTTCCTCTAGTCTCCATCTCCAGCACCTTAAATTAATCCAGAACATAGACCACTCCCCAAAACACATTGAAGACAACATGGTGGACAGGAAAGTACCTGACAACAGAAATAAATAACAGAAACTAATCCAGAGAAAAGCAGAATGCAAAAGTCATTAAAACATTTATTTATTACAAAAGAGCATAAACAATCATATTGGAATTATTTATGACTGATATTGGGAATGTGATGAGTCACAAGAATTAATTATAAAACTTGTGACGATGTGATTTTTTGGTCTGTCTGAAGGTCAGAGCATCGCAGTGCTTCAGGTCTGATTCGGTTCGTTGTGTCACATCTTTGCAGTTTGGACAGATTTCTATTTTCATTAACTTCATTAAGTCAGTTCACCTCCATTCAGACAAAAACAGAGTTCATATTCGTTGGGTAATATGTATGTTGATGTTGCTACAAAGAGAAGTAACTGTAAGATGATGGTGAAGTAATGAGGGACTACATAGCATTTACTCAGTATTATGTCTCTCTCATTAATTAATGAACTGCTCAATAAATGTGACTATAGTTCCTCATTGTCAGTCAGAAAGGAAACAGCTGACACATGGTCTGTGTGTTGAGTATTAACCAGCAACCTGTGGCACTTTTCAGTAGTCTCATAAAGCAGTAGGTGCACACAGAGGCACCCGGGTATTTCTGATGGTTGGTAGCCTGTGTCTTACAACCTGGCCTTCATTTTCTCTGCAACCCAACTGGAAAGAGGCTGTTGTAGTGTGGGGAGGGCCAGGGGAATGGGTGTGGCCTGGGATCTTGGTAAGCAGTAAGCCAGGGGAGGTTAACCACGAAGCGTGGCTGGACGTCGGCAGCTCTTGAGCAACAGGCCATACTTTCTCGGGTGTCTCTTCATAATGTACAAGTCTTTGCCTTTTATTAAATGACCTATGGAGAGGACCACCAATAGGTTGAACCTAGCTTCCTGCTGCCCTGTTCACAGCAGCCGAGTTTCTTAAATAAAGCTTCCCAGACCCCCTCTCATGGGCAGCGCCTTGCTGAGTGGAGTACCACTGGCTCAGATCAGAGTTGGTCCACTGTGAATTTATCTTTAATTAATTAATCTGTTCACAGTGTTGGGATCTGTATGTAGGCCTCCTGTATATTTCTGTATATCTGACGTTGATATTTAAGTCTTACACAGATCAGTTCTGCATTTGAATCCTCATCTTCTGCCAAATCAAACTGTAAAATCATACCCGTAGTCAATGGAAAGTCCCTTTGACACAAATACAGTACGTCTTGCAGTTGCCATGGAAACAGGGGCCGTGGCTTCAGCTGGTCTGGATTCCAGCTCAGATCAGAAGAATGCCAACAGGTTCAACAGCGTTCAGACTCACAATGAACAGTCAGTCCTGACTTCCAAACAACAGTGAGATAAAGTGAGAGATATATCTAGGTCATGTATATAGAAACAAATAAAGAGTCTTTCTTGGCTAACTGGTTCTACTGGTCATAACCACACAGACGCACGCAGGCCAGCTGAAAGTCTTGCCTGGTCCCGGGACGAGATAATCTTAGATGGGGCCCCCCGCACCCAGATCTCTCTTTTCCCTTGCTCTTCCCTCTCCTGTCTGTGGAATTTAGTGCACTAGTTGACTTTTTTCTCTACTTCAAAGGGAGAACAGCAAGCATGGTAGGCAAAATAAGGCCTTTTTTGGAGTTGCTATATCCAGTCCCTATCCATTTAACCCCTTCCATTGTGGGATGTGGAATATGTG